TAAGGTATATATTCCTAAAACTTGCTGCAATCATACCACATTTCATTTAGCCTTATTGTAAATTTCTCAGCGGGTCAAACTTCTCTCGGATGTTGCGTTTCTTCCAACTTTGTGACTAAATCTAGAACGTAAAAGAACTTTCAAGGGTCAGCCAAAGTCCAGCAGGATTAGAATAAAGATGGACATTAGATAATAATATAATAAAAAAGATTATAAGGGACCAAAATAGGGTTTTAACCTCTTAATTTTGGGCTTTTATATATCAGATACGAATTTTAAAAAAAATGACATTTTGTGCTCGTAAAAGTTACTTGAACAAAAAAAAAATGTGTGTATATATATATACATACATAAAAGTTAAAATAAAATCGAAAATTCACGATTTTTAACTTTATTATATAGCCGAAATTCGACAAAAAGAAAAGGAGAATATATAGCCTAAAAGATGGATATCAATATAATGAATTTAGGTGGTTTTGAATATTTTTTTTTAGTATTGTAAATTGATGTTGCAGTTTTATAAGAAGAAAATAAGTCGTAACATTTGAAAAAATGTTTTAAATTTTTATTAGATCTGTAAAAAAACATACTAAAACAAAAAAATAACAATCACTATAATTAAAATAATTAATTATGAATTATTATTCAAGTAATTAAAATTTATTTTGATTTGATGATTTATAATATGTTATTAACTTCATGACTGATAATCATGGAATATCATCTCTTATCTATCATATTCATGTATAAAAAAATAGAAAAAAAACTAACTCATAATTTAGCTATCATTAAAAAATAATTAACTTGTATTGATTAAATAATTAAAAACTAAAAAATTATTAATTATCTATTTTACATTGATTCACATATGATCTATTTGTCTATTATTTAGCAATGAATTTTAAGATTTTACTTATAACAAAAATTATAAGTACAAGTATTTAACTTTTACTTACACTGAATATTTATAGGTAGATAAAATAATTTTTGGTTTTACCCACAGTTATTGTGTATGTAAAAATAAAATATTATTCATGTGTCCATAAATAGTAAAATAAAGTTTTGAGTCTTTACAATAGTATAATATTCTATTATATATATATATATAT